CAACGTTGCGCCAGGTCTACCAGGTGCTGGCCAACCAGATGCAGCGCGCGCATCATTGACACAACGCAGTGGCCTCGGTACTGTCAGTGTTGGCAACGGCTTGTTTGGACGGTAATCCGTTCAAGGCACGCTGACTATTGTTCTCGATATTTGTTTTATTATCTATTATGTCTTCATTCCAGTACCATTGGGCGGCGTTTGTTGCGTTAGACTTGGTTTTGCATCCACAGCGGGCTGGCAAGGTAACATGAGCATGATATGACGGGAGGTATAATGCCTTGGCGTTGCCGCGGGAAGTCATCTCCGCTTTCATGTTTACCTCCCATGGAGATTATGCATTCTGTTTGGTTTAAGTTCAGGTTCAGGCTCGGGTTCAGGTTCACACTTTCGACCCTTTGAGAGCGGACTGAGGAATTAGGGATTAGGGAATGATGGAGATGATACCTTTTGATATCTGCGATGAGCGAATCAATGACATTCCGATGCATTTCTGTTGTTCCGTTCATCTCCGAATGTTCTGTCTTTCGTGATTAGTGCTTATCAACACACCGTTGCGATTGCAAGAATCAACCCACTTCACCTCTAGTGGTGAACTCGTTCTGCAACTCGAACCTCATCTCTTGTGGGTCAGCAGAAGCATGACGGTGAAGCCTCTGCTTCATGGTGTAGAAGACGCGGTCAAGTGATGTAGAGAGAACAAGAAGACGAAGGACTTACAATCTGGGAAAGTTGCTCTCAGCAATGATATGCAGCCCCAATATTTCCCTGGAGAAAGACGGAAAGTCATGCATAATTTGAACTCGCCTTTTAGTACACGAAGCACAGAAAAGAGGCGATGGAGAGATGGTTGTGGATATCAAAAAGACTGCCTACAGGAAATTAAACAAGCATGCAACTTCTTAGCAACCGTGAAGTGGGTTGTATGCTATGCTCTCGCATCCCATACGAACACCGAAAGGAATTCCTGGAATTAATTATGACTTTATGGCGTTGACTGTCTTACTCAAGCTCTAATCAAACTCTAGCATAAGCTCTTGAAAAGTGTAAAGAGCAGTGCTATTTGGTGTCGCTGTTTCTGATTAGGAGAGCGAACTGTAAAGCACTCTATACAAGGGGAAAATTAAATAGGTATAGAGATAATAAGTTTTACCTTACAGCTTACATTAGCTCTTAACAAGAAAACTTATAAAGGTTAATAGTAATGTAGACTTCTAGATTCTCTATTTACGTTTTTACAGCTCTTAATCTACTTTGTTATAGTAAGCAGGAGTACTCTGTTCTGTAGAGATATTTGTGGATTTTTTTGATGTAGCGAAATATTTAAAGAAGCATGTAGCAATGTGATTATCTGATAATGGCCTAAACCTATTGGCAGACCGGTAGACGCTTAGTAGGTCGTAGCATAGCATGGCGGCTCTATAGCCACGCTTTAATCGATTGACGTAGGCGCTTTTAAATGTAAAAGGCAAAACGCTATGTATTGCTAGAAACTTACATAACTCGAATAGCGGCGCAAAAGCCGACTCGAGTATGGAATTGCAGCACGGAAATTTCATGACAAAACTTGAACTCTATGGCATGGTTTTTTGGATTCTGGGCTAGATAGCATGAGTGCGAGAGAAGATCGAACCCACATCAGAGAAGCTTGAACAAAAGCCGAGGGTGTAGCTGGAGTCAGTGCGTGTGATCGGCATGATCACGCTGCGGTACAGCCACGAGGGACATGCGTCACAATGGAGATTCCATGTGACAGGCTGAAAGTTACAGCGGCAACCTGCATGAAACGGCTTCGAAGCCTTTCGAGGGTTTAGCTTTGGGGATCTGCGGACATAGTCGCGTATGCACATGCGGCTCATACTCGCGGCTCGATCTCGTAAAGCATGTGGATCACAAACCTACTTACAGTCTCTTTTGAGGCATAATCCGTCACGAAATGATATCTTGAATTCAAAGAAAAGTTTAAACCGCAAGAAGCGGATAGAAAACGGCCGAATCTAGTATTCATCGTAACCAAAACAGAGGAAGCGGCTCTCGGCACATGCCTTTCGTGTATGCTTGGAATGATAATGCTTGAGCCTTGTTGATCATGCACAAAGGTTGGATATGTTGATCCGAATCGTGAAGCATCTAGAGATAATTTTCGCCAGGGCAAATGGAATCAGAACTGGAGACGGGTGTGACTACAGAAGAGGTTAACAGTAGTGGTATCAGTATCGTCTACGGAGTTGATTGCAAGCCTCCTTTTTCCCGGTGGTAGGAGTGAGTACGCATATGGTGTAAAGGCCGCTGACTTTTAAGGTTCTGTTTCCCAAATACGGTTGCATATAGACATGGACTCTTGAACAAGGTGGCCCAGGAGAGTAGCAATGACAAAAGCAGATAGCAAGTCAATTAGTTGCTCCAGATCAGGAAGTATCAATGTTAGCTTCCTTGCAACGTGGTCGATATCGAGCTTGCATATAGAAACGACTTTGGCTAGCTGGCCGAGAATATTGGTCGCTTTCGTCAATCCCACGTTGTGATCGTCAGTCCCTGGCAGATGCCGATGCGTAATGCCGGTGGCTGACCGTTTGGTACGCGCTACCCAAAGATCGACCCGTGTAGATCCGAGGATGTTTAACGAAGGCCACGCGAGTGAGTTGCCATGTGCTCGCGTAGAAACAGTTGCCGATGCCTGCGTTGGCCGCATATCGTCACACGTGAGTCTGGTCACACTCAAAGTTTGGTTCCCGAAACTTTCGCGGGTTACAAAGGGTGCGGCCCGAACGTAGCAGTCGAAGCTGACGTGTGGCTAGGTGGAGTGGAGACCTATCTATGACATACTCAATATCAGATTGCCACGAGGTCGTAGACTGTGGTATCTCCAAGGTTTTGCACCTGAATCAGCGGCACTCGAAGATTTCTTGTGGCCGTTAAGATCGTCGGGTCGCTTGAGGTGACGACGACAAATTGTCGGAGGATGCCATCTGCTAACACGTTAGTCAAGCTCAAGGGTACCACTGCGCTGGATCATGGAAACACCTTTGGATGTGCGGTCAGGATGCTTGCGTCTACGCCTTCCGACGATTTGCGCCATGGCGCCTAGAATGGAAAAGCAAAAAGTCGCGGGGTCTCGCACTTGCGATCTGGGGATTACGACGTCGGGCCGACAGCAAACTTTCGAAGCCTGAAGCACGTCGCATCCCGTTCGCGAAGTATCGTGATCCTGGGGGATGCTCATGCATGTTGTGCTTGAATCGAGGGAAAGACTTTGAGTCAAAACTCACGCCATCACCAGAATGCCCCACTGACATCGACTCGAATACTGACGATTTCGAGCAGGCGAGAAAGGGGAAGGTGGACGCTCATAGCGGCGGAGTTTCAACCCGTCGCATGGGTCTGTTTCGATTGTGCATCAGGTATACCTTGTAGGGCTGAGGTATCAGCCGGGATGTGTTTTGTATCCGTGTCAGGGAACATCGATGAAATTCAACAACCTAATCCGTAGCGATGTCATTGGAATACACAAGTGGACAGAAGTTCTCATACCAATCTATGACGATGACCTACAGAATGCTTCGAAAGTGGCTTGATAGTGTCGGAGGCATGGCTCCTAGGCCGTTTCAATTTTTCCGGGTGCTCAACACAATGAGAGGGCTGCTTAGCTTGAGAATGGCGAGATTGCAATCGTACCGAGAAGTTGCTCGAGGTGCTCAACAAGCGGCTGAATTTTCAAGGTTACCACGGACCGTGTGCTAGGGCACGCGTTCCACACATCCCTACGGCATGGTGGTATGGTGGTATGGAATGTTAGTCGAAGATTTGGCTGTTTCTAAGCTGTTTAGCTCCTGAATTCCGCGGTCTTGCCTGTTAGCGACAATTAGGCCAGTGCTCAAATGACATGTGATGAACAGCGGCACGTTTGTACGCCGTTGTGATAATACATGAAAGTATGTGTTGTTAGCTAAATAAAATGATTGTATTCTTGCCTCGCGTATCTCAAAAGCCGCATCAGGCTCCACAAGTCGATCCCCAACGTTGTGAGAGTCAGTGAACATGATCTTCAAAAAGCAAACGAGCCCCATGTGGCTTTTCGAGCCGCGAAGACAGCGGCGGTCGAAGCTCGGCGACGGTTGGGTATACGCGAGGTGGAGCAAACGGCAAGCAGGTGTGCTGCTAGTGGCGTACGCCAAGTCGTTTACCTATGCACAAAATCGCTCGCCTGTGGCGTTCGGAACGAACCACCATCTTCGGTCGGCCTTCCGGGGCCTCGAATGCCTTCATCTATACAAACTCAACAATGCTATAGCAAAATGACAGTCAAAGCACAGTGTTCGAGCGAGTTGCTTATATTTTGATGTTCTGTGCTAACCAGTCAAGTAGATCAGCGCTGATCACGATGGCATCTTGCGAAGAACGTGTCTCCTTTCTGGAGGCCTCATTACCCTCCTGCATATTAGGCGAAGTCCACTTAGCGTTATGAATCCGCTGTTCCTGAAAAGTATGCCCTCCGTCGCTGGTAGCGTCTGCCATGCGAAGCGTCAGCAAAGGCCCACTTCAAGTGGTCTGGGGCAACTTCTCCATTCGCCCTAAGTTTCAGCTGGGTCATTGGTCGCGTTCAGTCATCATGGAATCTAGTGCCAGACTTTCCGTGCACATGCCAGGGATCATCTCTACGGCGAGGATTGCACCTCTGGTACGGAAGATGCATGACCCTCGAATAGCGGCCCCAGAAGAGGCGGTTCAGCCCCACTCCATACCTCAATCTGCAGTTGCCGTCCGCCATACCCAATGGTTAAATGTACCTGCATTCATTACTTTCCGTTATGGAGTCTCATATAGAACAGGCCTCGGGAGACTAAACGACCTGGCCTAGCACTTCTGACAGCTCTTGATATTCTCCGACATTCCAGGGAGTTTATAGTAAGGGTCTGTCCCGGATTACCAATTTCTCTTCGTTTCCGCCTCTCACTTCCTGGCCGTTCGATCGTACACGATTTCGTGTATGAGTACGAAGAAGGATGAGGCTCCTGGAATTGTTGCTCCCATTGCTGGCATGGGTGCAGCTAGTAGTTGCTCAGGAATCGGCTATGCTGGCTGTGGCCAAGCAACTTCCCCAATGCGCGGTATGTTCGATCCGAGCGATGCTCATAACATGTACTGATTGCGTTTTCAGCAAGTGTGTCTTGCCACAGCAGTCACCCAATCGCCTGTTCAGCACACAGACCTAGCCTCAATATGTGCAGATGCTAAATTGCAAGGCGAGGTAGAAGCGTGTGTTTTGCAAGCGTGTACACTGAGACAGAGTTTGAGTGAGTGCCTCACTTCCCAATGCTGTATCGAATGTTGCTAATTGCCTTTCTTAGCGACCAAGAATGTCACTTCAACAAGCTGCCACGCCCCCATACGTTATTCTGGCGAGTCCATTCGCGTATCAAACTTGATTCTCTCGATCGTCACCGCTGTCTGCGCGCTCTCCAGGATTATATACAAGGCCGTGTTCTCTATTGGAGAGCTCGGTTACGACGATTACAGCGTCTTAGCCGCACTGATAGCCGGTGTACCATCTGTCGTTATCATCGATAGAGCCATCGTTCCAAACGGTCTTGGAAGAGACGTTTGGACAGTCAGCTTCGAACAAATCACCAACTTCGTCCGGTATCTTTACGCCCTGGAAGTCCTGTACTTCATCCAGATTGCGCTTCTGAAGCTCACGCTTCTTTTCTTCTTTCTCCGGATCTTTCCAAAGCCGATGATCAGGCGACTCCTCTGGGCTACTGTTGCATTCAACTGTCTCAACGGCGTTGCATTCACGTTCGCCGCCATCTTTCAATGTCGACCGATATCCTTTTACTGGACGAAATGGGACAAGGAGGGATCAGGCCAATGCATCGATATCAACGGATTAGCGTGGACAAACGCCATCATCAGTATTGTCCTAGATATTTGGATGCTCGCTTTACCCTTGTTCGAGGTTTTTAACCTGCAGCTGTCCTGGCGTAAGAAGCTTAGCGTTGCTGTTATGTTTTGTGTTGGCACATTGTGAGTCACCTTAAGAACTATCACTAGAGGACAATCGCTAACTTGAGGCTCAGTGTAACCGTCATATCGATACTCCGTCTGCGGTCTCTTGTCAACTTTGCCGCTTCCGCGAATCCAACATGGGATCAAGCGGATGTGATCAACTGGTCAAACATCGAAATCAATATCGGAATCATCTGCGCCTGCTTGCCTGCACTACGCGTCATTCTTGTCCACTTGTTCCCCAAGGTCCTTGGTACAACCAAGGCCACCGACCGGCCTTACTACGCATACGGCAGCCAAAGTCATGGAATGAGGAAGGGAGGCAGTGCGCCGGCCAGCGGTCCAGGGAGATCGGCTGTCTCAAACGGCGGACGGGATCCGAACGCCATCACATACACTAAAACTTTCGAGATACGGCATGCAGATAGTGATGAACAGTCACTTGTTCAGATGGAGCTGGATCAATTTGGACCAAAGAAACAAAAGAACCCAAGTAGCAGTACCAGTATTTCGAGTTTATAGATAGAACATCTAAACAAAATCCTAATTGCGCCGACCACATCCAGATACAAAGTTTCGTTCACACGTTGTAACCGCTCTCTCGAAGATGAGGCATCGATACTAGTGTTGTGCAGCCATTAGCACAAGTGCAGATGACTAAGTCTTGTAGAGGTCGCCATTTACATCTAATGCCGTACGTATTCAAGTTCTCTTCGACACTAGAGTAACCCACCATATACTCCTCGCCCTTCTTCACATCACGTACGGTCTTGAACACTTCCTGCTCCAGCTATGTGTCCCAATGCCTCTTTACGCTTAATTTTTCTCGTGATTCAAAGTCGATCCGGTCAATAAAGTCATTCCGATTTTGCCAAATGAAGCCTCTCCTTCGAATGCAAACATACTCATAACGTGTATTAGAACATCGATGAAACAGTGGTAGTTGCTTCTTGTAAAAAGGGCTGTGCGCGGGCACTCATATCTCTACAATTTGTTGTGTATTAGATACTGAATGTTTATGACATGAACCATATTTGGCATCGTTACAATCTGGGAAACATCTATCCCTTGCATGCGGCCAGGCGGGTCAACTGCGTGGGCGGCCGCACTAATTTCTTAGCGCAGAGTGAAGCTTCCCAAGGTCGTGAGCCGCACGCCCCAATCGCAACACTCGTGATGTGGGTAATGACACCTGTGTACTAACAGTTCTCTGAGAAAGACGTTTCGTATCCAAGTATCTACGCTCGATCGGTAATGACTATCAAAATAATGGTACATAAGGTATCGCCATTTTTGACTTCGGGATCGAGCTTGTCGACAACGTTGCTAGGTGTCGATTGGCTGAGGACGAGAGTGTAAGAGCCGTCCCGCTATGTATGCTGCAGATACTGCAGTAAAATATGTACGAGCTGAGGAATGCAAGGGTATCTGAGCCGACCATGCACATAGCCACAACCTCAGGCGGCTATTGCAGCTCACTCACTTCCATCTTACTCAGCAGTCTCGCTTTCTACATTTGACGAAATTTTCAGCGAAAATTAAGCTTCCTGCACCCTAGTAAGCCGCTACGTCTCATATCTACAGCCATATTTGCAATATATTCACAAGTTTCCCCAAGTTCGTGCGCAGAAGCTGACACGATCCACCCTTCAGCCTTGCGAGAACGTCATCACGGTTAAGTAGTTGCCGGCTACCATACTCTCTCTCCAGGTACTGAAAGCGCTCGCGACTAGAAGCTGAGGTTCATCAATTCGGTGGTACGACTCTTGCTCTGAGAATTGGGAAAATCGAACGATTGATATGCGCCTCTTACATGCCAAGACTCTCGAATTCGAAGTCCTCCACGATAATGAGATACCGCGCTATCTTATACTATCGCACACATGGGGAATTGAGGAGATTTCCTATCAAGAGATGCGCTTTTTGCAACAGCATCACGCCTTGCCCGATAGCCTCAAAAGCGATACCACAGTGATGGCTGCATTGGAAGCGGCAGCCGGGCTGAAGATCTTCGCGATGAATAGCAAGTCTATTCAAGCTCGTGCCGGCTACAGGAAGATACAAAAGGCCGCCAAGCTCGCAAGAGAGAAGGGACTGAAATACATCTGGATAGACACCTGTTGTATTGGCAAAAGTAGCAGCGCGGAGCTACAGGAAGCAATCAACTCAATGTATCGATGGTATCAGCAATCCTGCTTCTGTATGGTTCACCTGGAAGATGCAGATTCCGTGCGAGACCCGGACTCTGTTTTGCGCCGCCGTTATGATATTGCAACAATATTACGTACATCCCGATGGATCACTAGAGGCTGGACTTTACAAGAACTCATCGCACCCAAGGCTCTCGCATTCTATGATCAAGATTTCTCACTCATTGGCTCCAAGAGTATGTTCTGTCCAACGATTGCCGAAGTGACAGGGATACCTCTATCTGTTTTGCGTACTGGTGACCTGAATCAAGCTTCAGTCGCACAAAAAATGTCATGGGCAGCCAATCGCAAACGACTCGAGCAGAAGACCGTGCATACAGCCTCATGGGCCTGTTTGGTATTCATATGCCTATGCTGTACGGTGAGGGTGACAATGCATTTAGACAGTTGCAGGAAGAGATCATGAGAAGGACTCCTGACGACTCAATCTTCGCATGGAAGGCACCTGATGGGTCGCTATCCAGATATTGTGGATTGTTAGCCATGTCGCCCGATGACTTCGAAGGATCTCAGGGTATCGAGCAGGGCCGTGGTCAATTCGCTACATCAAGTTTGGGCCTCAGAATTGAGGCACGGTTTTGTCCTTTGCTGGACGAAATCTCTGGCGAGATGTGGGACGATTCGATCTTCGCCCTTCCGCTGGGTGCGATAGAGAAAGGAAGAATAATTGCTCTGCTCATTCGACGACTGAGTGCATCGCACTACACAAGAGTTGCAGCCAACACGTTCAGTCATCGGCTCAATGATAACGGCAAGCCAGAGGCAATTTATATCGAACACACTCCAAAGATTCCAAAGATATTCCGAAGCCGTGCGATGCATTGCTTTCAGTTCAAGTTCGACTCTACAGTATACCGTATCCGAAGTGCACAGCCAAAGCAGTTGTGGGATCCAATCCATAGCGACCTTTCAATCGATCCCGAGTTTTGTACAAACAACGGTTCAGATAACAACGGGTATCCAGGTGCACCCGTATTCTACGGCACGGTTCGGCTGTATTACCAAAACCGCAACTTTCCTTTGGCTTGTTCGATCAACTTCGGGCATAATCTTGTGACCGGCCGTGTATGGTTGAAGCTTTTGGGCTCTGCTTCTACACCCGTCGAACCGAATTGGCGAACCGTATGTCAGGAACCCAAAAGCTATGATGAGCTGCTGCGCCCAGAGCCACTTGTTCAGGTTCTGAATATTTCGAACTCCGAGGCAGTCAGAGTGACGGTTCATTATGGCTTGCATCGCGGTATGATATCCTATATTGTCCATATTGTTCAGCAGAAGTACATGTTGCCCCCTGTTTTGAGAACATAGTGTTACAGTATTAGTTGTTGAAATGGATAGTGATTGTCAGGCAGTCGCTGCAACGCGTACGATTGCAAAAGATGCACGAATCTGAGCTTTAGAGTTGCATCCTTACGTCATAAAAAGCTTTTACGTAGTTGGTGATACCGTTGACTCGTTTTTTTCGATGGCACATTTCCTATCGTTTTCATATCCCCGGTTATTTGTCGACCCTGGCCTGCAATATGGATATCGACTTCTCCCAGCCTATCTGCCGTAAGCGACTGCCATTGGACCGAACACAATAGTCGACGAATGTGACAGACACAGGCCGCGCAACCCTCTCTGCATACAATATAGTTTCTCATTTGGAGACCGTGGCTTCAGCCGCGGACAGGGTCACTTCCCGCTATCAGGTACCACATATGCCGAGCCAATGCATTGTCCACGCAATGCATCCTATCATCTAGAAGTTCGTATCCACCCCAAAGCCTTAACAGTGAACTATCTTCTTCTCCATAGCCATCACTAGAGACAGTATCCTGTCATGTCTATACTTCTCCCGCTCTACGTGTATCCAAGTGCGGGTGCATGGGATCCGCTATACGCAGCGTATGCACACCTCCCCCTACGACTTCATTGCACACTAACTGGAACTCAGAGCAAAAGCGTATAGAGATGTAGACTTCACCGTCATCATCAACCCTTGCTCTGGCCCCTGTATGGGGTCACTCCCTGACCAAGTGTACCTTGATGAGGTCCCTAAACTACGAGCCTATCCAAACATCAGAACACTGGGATACGTCGCAACCGATTATGCAGAAAAGCCTATCGAAAGTGTTTTGGCAGAAATCGACACGTACGCGCGCTGGCCCAAAGTCGCAAATATCACCAAGATGCGCGTTGATGGAATCTTCTTGGACGAGACACCAAGCATGTTCGACGAGGACGATTACGCATATTTGAAGACAGCGAACCAAGCAATCAAGAACAACACAGCGTTCAGCGAGCGCTTCATAGCTCATAATCCAGGCCTGGTGCCCACTTCTATACTCACTTCGCCCACAGTACTACAAGAATCCTACCTCAACCTCACCGATCTCACTGTCGTATTCGAAGAGACATTCGACAAGTGGCTTGACAGAGATGTTATGGTTCCGCTACAAGCACACAAGATTCGGCGTTCGAGACTGGCAGTCATACTGCATTCGTTGCCGAATCTGACTGGAGAAGTGCTGGACTTCGTGATCCAGCAGGTGCAGAACACGGCGGATTGGATCTTCTTGACGGACAGTGCGGATGACTATTATCATACCTTTAGCGCAATGTTTGAGAGTTTGGTGAAAGCGGTTGACAAAAGTAGTTAAATGGGAAGGCGAGGCTCAGACATTTATAATCCCCGCTGTGGCCCAGCAGTCATGAACGTGCACTTGTGCAGCTTGGTATCCAAGACCAGTGGCTACTTGACCGTGCGCATAGCGCACTTGTGAAGCTGACAGCCTCCTCATCTATGTCTTTCAGATACATGATGGCGTTCTACTAGATCGCACCAGCTTCCTGGTAGCCGATGCTATGGCTGAGCAAGGAAAAGGTCCGCCATGACTAGAGTGTATCGCCGATATCAGTTGGTAATTAAAGGTGTCTGCTATGTTTTGCATTGGCCCTAGAAGATCGCAACCACAGCAAACACGTCCAGAATGTATCTGAGGACGAAGTCTGGAAGCATAGCATTCCTCTGTTTTTGGTACGGTACGGCTGTGAGTGGAGAAGAGCGGACAAAGCGATGTGATACTGGAACCAATGTTTGGACGCCGAATTGACATTTGCGGATCCGTACGAAGAGGATACGGCTCCGCGAGCAGTGTCATGGTGCCAACAGTTGGAGTCTCACACTCAAACCCGGTCTGCTCCGTTTCCCTGGGGTGTTTGATCCGTAGCAATATTTGCCCTTCCGCAATAATGCTCCTATGCAACGTCGACGATGAGGGGGTTGTCATAGCTAGATTGCTGGAAGCTCAACAGCACCATGATCTGGTTGCTGGCGGTTCCGCTCATGTAATAGCTTGCAATGCGGGCGAAGACGGTCATGGCTGGGTTGTCGCCTGCCTATTGTGATGGTTGTAGGTGTAAAGTCGGGCGAATCGGAGTGGAGGGGTTTCCGCGTTGGCAGCTGCGTCGCCTATCTTCGGCTTGCTTCACGCCTTGCGCCCTTCCCTCCAACATGCCGCCGCAATGCCGCCACCGCGTTTATATCCGCTCGCTCGCCTCTCCAGTACGTGGTCCTGTCCACAGACTGTGCGATTGACCTTACCTTTGTCCAGTAAACACGCTCAAAGCGGGTAATCGACCCTTGACCGCATCCCTTGCCCCGCGCCAGCCACCCACTTCACGAGCATACTCGGCCATGTCAGAACTCTCCCACTACGTTGCCAAGAGCAGCAAGAGCTTGACAAATGGCACAAGCCACGACGGCAACGCCTGGGGCGCCGACAAGAACCCGGCGGCCTTTGACTTCCGCTCTGACGTGCACACTACGCCGACCAGGGCCATGCTCAAGGCAATCCAGGAGTGCACCCTGCTCGACGATGTCACCATGGAGGATCCCACCACACTATCACTCGAGCGCTTCGTGGCCGACCTCAGCGGCAAGGAGGACGCGCTCCTGATGCTGTCTGGTACCATGGGCAACCAGGTCGCGCTGCGAGCACACCTCACCACGCCTCCACACGCCATCATCTGCGACCGACGTGGCCACATCATCAACTACGAGGCAGGAGGTGTAGCAACCTTGAGCCAGGCCATGGTCCAACCACTCGATGCGAAGAACGGCACATACCTCACGCTCGAAGACATCCAGAAATACGCCGTCATCTCTGACGATGTCCACGCCTGTCCCACGCGTGTCATCGAGCTCGAAAACACGCTCAATGGCGCCATAATGCCCCTGTCCGAAGTGAAGCGGATATCGGCTTGGGCGCGCCAACACGGCATCATAATGCACTTGGACGGTGCACGTCTGTGGGAAGCTGTAGCTGCAGGCGCTGGTACCTTGAAGGAGTACTGCGCTGAGTTCGATAGCATAAGCCTGTGCATCAGCAAGGGCCTTGGAGCGCCCATTGGTAGCATCATCGTCGGTACAAAGGATTTCATCAAGCGTAGCCGCTGGATCCGCAAGTCTATCGGTGGAGGTCTGCGACAAGCTGGTGTCGTTGCAGCTCCAATGCGCGTTGCCATTGAAGAGACGTTCCTTGGCGGCAAGCTCACCAAGTCTCACGAAAATGCGAAGAAGATTGCAAGCATGTGGACCGATCTTGGTGGCAAGCTGCAATATCCCGTAGACACCAACATGGTTTGGTTAGATCTCGAGGCGCATCATGTTGACATCAACAACTTTATCGAGCTAGCGGAGAAGTACGGCGTAAGGGTGCGTGGTGGTAGGTTTGTTGTGCATTACCAGATTGGCGAAGAGGCAATTGAAGCGTTGCGAAAGATCTTTACCGAAGTCATGACTGGTAAGGAATCGGCAGGGAAGAAAGCCGAAGCCCCGCATGACCCCGAAGACCTCAAAATGAAGGGCAAGGGCGTGGAGTAGATATTTCAGCCACAGCATGATATTAGTCGGTCTAATAGACAGACAAATCAGATCAGTTCGCTCAGCCACGCAGCCACATCGATCCTCAGTACCTGCATGTCTAGCGTCTGTTTTATTCCGAACTGGCCGGGACATCGGGATGCATCAGAGCTCCCAAGACTTTAAGACTTCGCTATTACGTTAAAATTTCGATTTTAGGCCTTAACCTCTCTCCACAACACACCGACGTCAAGGCAAAGTCGTCATCGAACCCTCAAACACGACAACGCCAAGATGGAGGCTGAAGTATACTACATGAAGCTGCTCTGGACAGCGCCTTGGTGCTTGTCACTTGGACTTGCATTTGATTCCTCGGACTTGACCTGATTATGCACAAGCCCGCACGCTCGGTCACTTCTGCGCAAAAGTTTCTACGGCAGACGTCACTCTTTCCCAAAAGACCGGTTGGACCCTGTTCACATAAAGCTGCCACTTGCAGGCCAACTACTTCACGTTGCTTCCTTTCCTCTATACCACGTCAATTTCACACTTCTACAGCAAAGATGGTACCACCGATCGCACAAAACCGAACACTGTTGTCCAACCATCCGGACAAAGTCCGCATGCTTGTTCTCGAGACAGATGAGACACATCCTGACACTCAAAAAGAGACTGGCTCCTTTGGAGTCGTTCTAGGTGAACTTCTCAAAAAAGCTGGAGATGAGCACAAACCTAGTCTCGGTATCGAGACCGCAATGCAATACGTGGTCGAGCCAGAAGGTGGTGCGATACCGAAGCTAGAGGAGATTGGTGACGACGTACACGCCATCCTCATAACAGGAAGTTGCTGGGACGCACACGGTGACGACCCTTGGATTCTCAAGCTCATTGAATTCATCAAAGGTGTGTATCTGCATGTGTGGTTGGAAGGTACTCAGCAATGGCTAATGGCTAATGGCATGACAGACGTCTGGACACATCGCCCCGACATCCGTTTCACAGGGATATGTTTCGGACACCAAATTCTTTGCAGAACTCTTGGTGCTACCGTCAAACCACAGAAGGACGGTGAATGGGAGTTGTCCCATCAGCCCATCCAGCTCTCCGACATTGGCCGCCATCTTTTCAACCTTCCCGAAACAGAGACCAAGATCCACCTTCACCAGATGCATCTTGATCACGTCGTTAATCCTCCTTCCACCGAGACCACCGATTTGATACCACAGGACACCAAGGTTCACGTTTGGGGTACCAGCGACCACACTGGCGTTCAGGGTGTATATATCCACAAGAGATTGTTCACCACGCAAGGTCACATGGAGTTTGATGAGGCTCTTGTTAAGAGGCAACTTGAGATGAGGGTTGAGAGTGGGAGCGTGAGCAAGCAGGATGCAGACGAGGCTGCCGAGAGAGCGGATTGGATGCATGATGGTCTTCTTGTCGCAAAAGCAGTGTTGAGGTTCTTCCATGGCGACGATGACATCTACACATAGGGACCATACCCAATGGAGGCTCCACAGGGCTTCCGCTACGATGTTACGAGAAAGAGCATATTATCGGCGTTCAACAAGTTGGATACTCACGAAGTTTACGAATAGCGTGAGTGGTATGTACAAAACATTATAGGCATATGTTCAGTATCGAGGTCTGGCTTTGCGTAATCATGGTGACTTGTGCCATATCAATTTTGGAGCGTTAAGCAGCACTACTCGCGTCACAGAGCGCATCGCTCTCAAAACAACAACCCACGTTTATATACAAGGTTTTGCTATGAAAGCTTGTCTCAACATCAGTCCATGTCGATCCTGTTAGAGTCGGTTGAACATTACGCGGGCGATGGCCCTCGGCATTAACACTCCCGATCGCGCGCCGGAAGTCGCTTTCCGACATCTTATCCCCGGAATACGCGCCCCGACACCAACCCGCCTGCCTCTTTCAAGACCTGTGCAAGTGCGTCATCGCTCCACAGAGGCGCGCAGTAAGCACAGAGATATAGCAACAACAGAGATAGCACATCTGCCCGTACAGGGTCTGTCTCAATCAATACTTCCACCCTGCATAACAATCGGTCAACATCGGCCAGCTGCTCCCTGGCTTGCACACAGTACTTCGCTCACACGCGTTCAAACCCTCGAATTAACGAGGCTGGAGATTCAACGGGGCACGGCATCCTTTCCACGTCCCGGCATTAGCGTCATGTTCGATAGGCGACCAGGTGGATTAAGGGTGGGCAGACCCCCATGACCAGTCGATAGCTCTTCCAGTTTCGCATCTTCCAGACCTAAACATTAATTCTACGTCTCGATACACTATTCAACGTTATCCTGCCCATATGCTGAGGTCAAAATAGCTTCGCTATGGCTACGACGAAAAACATAACGAGCGGCAATAACGTGGACGCTACTAGCGAGAAAGAGACATGTCAGGACATGGACGTCGAGAAAGATGGACCGCGAGCCAACCTGGAACGTCAGCCTTCTGAACCCCCCTACTCTGTCTTTAGCAAAGGCATGAAGGCATGGATCATCCTACTTGTTTCGATCTCCGCTCTAATATCGCCGTTTGGCGCGTCTATGTTCCTTCCAGCACTCAATGTGCTTTCCAATGTGTTGAACATTACACCTACACAGGTCAACATCTCAATCACGACATACATGGTACGTCTGGACAGTTAATCTCAGTATGAAATGGACAGGACACTCCGCAGCTCAGGCTTCGCTGACGTTGTGGCGTCCACCGATATCGGTAATGCAACTAACTGTCCTAGATCGCCCAAGCTATAGCTCCTGCTTTCCTCGGAACTCTATCGGACAACAGTGGACGGAGATTGACTTTCATCATATGCTTCGTGATCTACAGCATCGGCAACATCGGCCTCGCACTTCAAACGAACTACATTGCACTTCTCATTCTGCGTATGGTACAAGCCGTGGGAGGCACAGCTGCTATTGCATTGACAATGGCGGTTGTTGCGGATATCTCTACATCGGCTGAGCGAGGAACTTACATGGGTTATGCACAAGCTGGTGTATTGATGGGCCCTGCTTTCGGTCCGACAATAGGTGGGCTGCTGGCACAATATTTGGGCTGGCGATCTATCTTCTGGTTTCTGGCCATCTTCTCTGGAGTACTGCTCATAATATTCGTATTCTTTTTCCCTGAGACTTGCCGAAAAGTCGTTGGCAATGGCTCTATACCTCCTCAGGGCGTCAACCGCTCCGTCATTAGCTGCATACAAGCGCGTAAGCTCGCTAAGCTGTCGCCCAACGAGAGCACAACCAAACCAGAAAAGACGAAAGTCGCCTGGCCAAATCCGCTTGCAACGTTCCGCATCTTAGCTGAAAAGGAGTCGGGAATCATCCTACTCTACAATGGCCTCTTCTTCACTGGTCAAATGGTTACGATCTCTGCCATCCCAGAACTGTTCTACGCTGCGTATGGCCTTGATGAATTGCATATCGGTCTTTGCTACATCTCGAATGGTGTAGCTTCTCTGATTGCCTCACTCACTCTGGGTCAAGTTGTTGATTGGAACTTCAGACGCTATGCTAAAGCTGTTGGTATGACTATATCCAAAGGCAAACAGCAAGACCTCACCAACTTTCCCATCGAGCGCGTTCGTCTACAGATTCTGATTCCATGCCACATCATTGGTATGATCGGAGTGCTTATCTTCGGCTGGACACTCAAATATCGAACACACATCGTTGGCCCGGAAGTTGCCCTATTCATCATGGGCTTTGGTGTGACTGGTGCATTTAATATCACCAATGGTTTGCTCCTCGATCTCCATCGTGATAAACCCGCAGCTGCGACAGCAGCGGTCAACTTTGCCAGGTGTATGATGAGTGCTGGTGGCTCGGCGGCAATTATCCCGATGTGCCATGCTATGAACCCGGGATGGGCGTTTACGTTCATAGCGCTGGTGATGGCTGTATTGCTTGGGGTCGTCATTTGGATCATGAAATATGGAATGAAGTGGAGACAAGAGTTAGCAGAAAAGACAAGGCTGAAGAGAGAAGAGAAGGAGAAAAAGGCAGATCAAGAGAAGGTTACAATAAGGCATCACTAATCTATTTTATTAAGCTTTTCATGAATACATCGTTGAATTACATCATTTGGTGTAAACATGGACCTCTCAGGAGGTCCTCGTCCATGAGCACGCAGATCATGTTACTGAGCGTAAAACACAACACCCCAAGTCAGTGCAACAAGAAGCATGCGACTTCAAGCGCCAAGCGGCATGTGTATCGTCACTCGAAGAATGCCGAGATTTGATCACTTGAATGAAAATATTTGGACTCCACTGTCCAATCAGTCAAGAGGTAACTACACAAACGCGCAAGAGATACAAGTCTCAGAGGCAGCTCACCATAGAGCTACATGTCCTCGATAGTCTGACTACAAAGACCAAAAGAGTCTATGATGATGACTGCAATGTCCTCTCTACATCTGATGACGACCAGAACTTCGATTAAGACATTATGCCGAGTGGAGGGCACTCGAACCAGCCTCCAGGTCTCAACGTGGCAGAAAGCTCACGCAGGGCCTGGCAATGGCCGTAACGATGAGCCTCTACTCCCTTAAGATAATCTGACAAGAAACTGTTGCGTTCAGTGTAACGTTATTAGCCACATCAAGCACCTGTGCTTACTCACGAATCAAGACAAAGCGTGAGAGAAATAGGTAGGATCAGGGCGTGCGTGCTCGAAGCTAACCGAGCTGATTGGCGTTCTGTACTTGGGTTGGCTTCCCTCGTAAGCAGATGCGAGGTGTGGTGCTTGTGGCAAGACGCACCATACTAGATCTCGCACCAGGAAGCAATATAGTCGGACGCCGAGTAACAAGTGAGAAGCTTTGGTACATTGTCAAAATATTGTTATTGGTGATCTTCACATATCTACCGCCCACAATCCTTGCGTATACATAGGCCATACGGAAGAAATGGTTGTTCAAAGATCGCGTTTGGTGGCATCGACTGAGCGTAGTAACAGCGATGCCCCAGAAGTGGCCATCTCGTGAATTCAAACAGTCCTCAAAACCTTCACCCCAGTCATCTCAGCCATGTCGTATATCGCGTCAACCACTCGGTCCACGTCCATACTCTTGAGTGGTATCCGGTGCGCGCCCTCCCATTCAACCAATGTTACCGTGCAGTCCTCGCAATATTCGTGTAACAGTTTTCGATGGAGATGTAGTCCCGGGTCTGCCATGCCATGGACATGGAGCGTTGGTTTGTGCAGCGTGGCTTCCTCGTCCACCTCTTTACAGAACTGGAAACCTTCAGAGATGTTACCCGCACTCACAAGTGCGTCGCTCTTCATCAGCTCGGGGTTTAGATTGCTCAAGGGCGCCCGACCGGCTAGTAATATTCCGAATCTCCACCTTATGCCTGGAATTCCTGTCAGACCAGTAGCAATCTTTGTTCCTTCTTTGCGGGCTTGGGTTTCTCTGGCTTGCTGTTCGAGCAGTAGGCTTGCGGATAGCTTCGCCCCCTGACTGAAACCCATCAAGCCTACCCACTCGCCTGTGCCGCCTTCCCGGTCATCGTCTTCCATTGCTGTTCGCATCGCATATCCAATTTCTTCTATACAAGTATCTTCATCGATTTCAGGGTGTTCAGGAAGCCATCGTAGCCAGCGCCGAAAAGGTGCGTAGTCACTGTATACGCCAATGATGTCTGAGTGGGGATCGCAGAAGAAGGGGCCGTCAGCCCATACGAGGCGAAAGGAGTGTTGAAGATGGCGTATGAGGGATCGGGATTGCGCTTTGAAGATAGCGGCATTGACGCCGCCGCCGTGTAGGCAGAGAATTCGAGGGAGAGTCCTTGTATCGGGCTTCGTCGGAGGAATCTTTGAGACTGGTTGTGAGTAGGTTGAAGGCATGTTGTGGCTTATCTGTCGCCTTTCACTCTGGAAATGGCCGCGACCAATAGATTGTGTGCTGTGAGTGATGGCCTCAGAAAGTGATGGATCGGGTTCAACACTGTAAATTGGTGTACAACAGACGTGGTTGCAAGCAGATCATACTGAGACAGGCTGACTCCTAAAATAAAACCGTGTCTGCGGCATACCATCGACGTGCCGTGATTAGTCTCGGAGTCCGAAGCGTGGTTGAAGGCGTACTACCGCTGACCCTGCATATAACTATGGTGCCAGGTATGAGACACCCATGGTGTGCAGCGCTGTCCAAAGCCTGTAAATGCCCAGACTAGAGCCTCCTATAAGTCTTGACGATCTACGATGGAAAAAGAGTGTTGCGGTGAAGGTTTAATTCGAGGCAGCGAGGGGCGGGGAACCGCGTCGGCACAGGAACGCGCTAATCTGTGTCATCATCGAATACGCGCTCAATCCTCCATGTCAGCCCAACAATCACACTACTTTGGCATCTACGCAAGGTTAAACAACAATAACAATAACAATAACACAATGGGAATGGCTTCGTCGAACATGCAGCCAGACGCTAAGGGTATTACAAGGGGCACAGTTCATGATATCCCATATCTCGTAGAACATGATTGGCCTTCCACGCATAATCACACATAGGCTACGGCCATCATTTGTTCTTTGAGCTAAAACATGGAAGCAAAAAGTCTCCATTAGGCTCAACGACGATGTAATCCGGTCCATCCATGTACCAATTCGAAGTGAACATTTCCAGTGCCATAACACAGATTTCATTGACGATATCTCCCACGGAAAGTCGGTTGTGGGTTTATGATATTCTAAACTTTTCTGTGAGGTAAACACGCCTAAACCGCATAGGAAGCAGAAGCGATATACATAGCAGCAGCATGTACAAGCATATAGCACATGAACATGCCTCTAAGATATATCGCAAGCGACATATCGAAACAGTGGCGGAGCCAATCCTTGACTTGAGATTTGCGCGCAGACGGGAGAGATTTCGTTAATAGGTTTCTTCAATCTGCTTCGGAGTTGCTATCATCTGAACATGTGGCTCTTGTGTTGAGAAGCAGTGCTCATGGTTTTCTCCATGTATATCCGAGCTTCAATTTTGACTTTGCAGGAAGGTAATGTAAATTTCAGAAACGTCTTGAACATTCATCGAATAGGGGAGCATTACACGCCCCTGTTGACCGAGCACGAGGAGTCTTCAACCGTAGATACTCTTGGTGTTCTGAAAGACCCGAAACCCCGTGCTCCACCCGATTATGGTCTTTGAGAAGCGAAGACGCAGCGTCATGAATAAAGTGTCTTCCCCTTCCAAGCTTCTCCCATTCTCCTTACTTCTATCCGTAATATAAGTCGAAGAGATGTCCAGGACTGATCGCTTCAACATGAACAAAGCGACTTGGATAACGTGAGCAAGAAAATTGGTATTGGAGAAGACTACAAACCAAATATACCCTCCACGCCAGCGCTACGGTACCATGCTCCAAGTGCTACATTTCCACGGGAGTCTATATGCATGCCTTGGATCATGGTCTGGAACCTACAATCAAGCCCGCCCAAGACACCCGTTCACCCAGACGCGTTATTCATACGAGACTTTTGCTGTCATAATCGTCGTAATTTGGCGATGCCGGTCCAATATCTCTTTACCAAGCTCTGAACTCTCCATTCTCTTCTCCCGTTCCTCGGAATCTGATTATCATGGCATACTTGGGCTCGTGAAGCCACCTAGGCTGCTGGCTTGGGAGCATTGGCGGCGTGCTGCGAGAGGAAGCCGGGGTCGTTTTCGAATTCTTCCCTGACCTGCGAATTGTTAGTGTGTGTAAATGCTCGAGGGTGGTGTACTTACAATATCCAAACCGCCTACTAGCTCACCATCTGCCCAGAGTTGTGGGAAGGTCGGCCAGTCGGCAAACTCCTTAAGTCCTTGTCGCACCTCGTCGTCGGCCAGGATGTTGAAGAAACCGTACCTAATGCCCTTTTCACGTAGGATTGCCACTGTCTGCCGGCTGAAGCCACACTGGGGCGAACTCGGTGTACCCTTCATGAACAACATGACTGGTGCTGCCTTGACGAGTTCGCTTAGTCTTTGGTGCAACTCGTCCTTGTTTGTCTGCTGCTCGCCTTCCCGGTGCTCACTCGCGCTGTATTCGGGTGCGGTCTTGGGGTCCTGTGCGCCAGGCGCGTAGCCAGCGAGGCTCTTTCCCGTGCTGTCGCCGTTCTCCTGTGGTCGTGTGACGGTTTGCGCGGGTGGTAGACTGGACGACTGGCCGCTACCGGCACCAGCGTACTTCTCAACTGCTGCTCGTACTTTGGATGCATCTGAGCCTGAAACTGTCTCGAGGGTCTTGTCATCCTTCTGCAGAACGATGTATGGGACGGCAGTGACATCGTACTGCTCAGAGACCTCAGGCAGGTCTTCGGCGTTGAGCGACAGGAATTTTATGGGCGCGTCGGCGGGGTATGTGCTGGCGAGCGTCTTCAGGATGACTCCCATCTGCTCGCATGGCTTCGCCCATGGTGCGTGGAAGTAGATGATGGCGAGAGTGGAGGGCGCAAGCGCGGAGATGGTCGACTGGAAGGCCGACTCATCCGTCATCTCCTGCATGGTAGCCATTGTGTCGATAGTCTATGTCGGGATATGGAGGGCGGTTGGATGCGTGAGGTGGATGTGGATGTGGAGGCTCGCTGGTGTTCTCGAATGAGTGTATGATCTGATTAATATTTAGTCGCCGCCCAAGGGAAACAGCCTGTGAAATCACGTCAGAGGGCCGAATTGCGGAATCACCCCGCCGTTGCCGCTTTGTTATCAGATCGGCCAATAGTCTCCCCGGCGCCGCAGAGCCCCGGACTTTTTTTGTTAGCCAAGATTTCGGCATCAGGAAACCACCCAGATTAACAACGACAAAATGATCAAGGCAGTGTACGTCAAAGACAGCTGCGGCTCCTCCACGCCAAGGCGATTCTAACATGATTCTCCAGGAAACCAAAGAATGCTCGCGCCAAGCGCGCAATGGCAAAGCGCGAACCGCAACAGAACGAGAACCCCAAGACCACGCTCTTCGTCTCTGGCCAGAAGACTTCTCAGATCCTCAAGCTCGCCGTCGCCGATATCTGCACCATCAAGCGACCCTTTATCGAGCGTTTCACCAAGAAGAACGACATCCACCCCTTCGATGATGCTTCTTCGCTCGAGTTCTTCTCCCAGAAGAACGACACCTCGCTCCTCGTCCTGTCTCTACACTCGAAGAAGCGACCGCACTGCTTGACGTTGGCACGAACATTTTCATACAAGATGTTGGATATGCTAGAGTTGTACATCAACGCAGAGACCTTCCGCACGCTTCAGCAATTCAAGAACAAGAAGCCGTCAATCGGCCTGAAGCCACTAATCAGCTTCCACGGCACCGTCTTCGAAGACCCCAACCAGACAAAGTACACCCTAGCAAAGAGCTTGTTTATCGACCTGTTCAAGGGCCAGGATGCGACCGAAGTCGACGTCGAAGGCCTCCAGTACCTCATCTCCATCTCCGCCGAAGAACCCACCGACGCGCTCCCCAACCCGCAAATAAAACTCCGCTTCTACCTCCTCCGCACCAAGCGCTCAGGCCAAAAGCTGCCGCGCATCGAAGTCGAGGAAATGGGCCCGCGCATGGACTTTGCGCTCGGCCGCGAGATGTTCCCTGATCCGGATATGCTGAAGGAATCGCTCAAGAAGCCCAAGGGTGCTGAGCCGCGGACCAAGAAGAACATTGACACTGACATCATGGGTGACAAGACGGGTAAGATCCATGTTGGCAAGCAAGACTTTGCCAATCTGCAGACTAGGAAGATGAAGGGTCTTAAGCGAGGAAGGAACGAGGACGAGGACGAGGAAGTTGGTGTTGAGGATACGGCAAGTGAAGGCGACGATGAGGAGAAGACGCCCAAAAAGGTTAGGGTATGAAATGTAACAAGGCACAAGATGTAATTGCATGGGTGGCGTTAAAGGCACTTCCGGCGTTCAAATGTTGGGCGAGACTATACCATTCTGCACGTTTGTAGCAAGTCATAGGCGTCTCAAAAGTCGAGTTGTTCAGAGCAACGCTCATAGTCTATACGTCTCCTGCTGTGTCTACCGTCTATTCATCATCGGGTTCGTCAGCTAGTAACCACTTCGCCCGACACTTTACCGCTGCACTCCTGACCTCTCTCTTCCCATCATCTAACGCAGCAATAAGTCTCCTCACAACCTCCCTCCTATATCCTAGTATCCTCTCCTCCTTGAACTTCTCTGCTACCAGATGCAAACACTTCAACGCCGCCACCCTGACTGCTGGCGGTGGTGGTGTAGCCTTGTTCTCCTTGCTGATAGTAGCATTAGCAAGAAGTCGAGAGATCAGCGCACCGGCATGTTCCTCGAGAACTTCAGGCTTCTCAACAAGTGTAGAGGTAAGCGTGCCAATCGCGGCTTCTTTAACACTGTCAGCGCCCTTGAGATCAAGCGATTGTAGAAGGAGGGTAACGAGTTGCCCAACTTCTTCGACTACTATGTCAAAAGGCATCCATCTTAGCGCACCACTAAGTGCGATGAGGTAATTGGGTTTGGTCTGCGGATCTGATTCTCGGAACGCTTTCGTGATACTTGGCACCAGTAAAGCAAAGCTTTTGTGTTTGTGCAGGCCAAGGATTTGGCAGTGGTTCTCCTTGGTGAGAAGGTCGTCGGGCTGCAGAAGAGTTGTGAAACCTTGAGCAACTGTAATCCCATACTTCGGATGTGATAGTAGTGACAAGAGCGTTGGGTATAACGTGTTCAGCGCAGGGCTGCTCCGTAGTACTATGCCTTTAAGACAAGCGAAGATGATGCGTATCCGTGGTGGATCAAGCTTCTCTGGGCTAAAGAGATCGAGCTCGGCGACAAGGGGGTCCATACTTGTCTTGAGTGCTGCAGAAGTGTAGTACTTGTTGATGACCAGCGACATTTGACGAAGGGAGGCTGATCGGATAGGTAGAGATAGGGAAGGTTGCTGGACGTAGTTTGCAAGAGAAGAGACTAGTAGTTGTAGTTCGCATGGCAAGATTGCATCCTTGCGAAGGGAGGCGAGGAGGTGAGTAGAGACGATCATGGTCTTATTCGCTTCGGTACCAGCATTGAGGTTGAAAGGCGGGAGCTCAGTTTGTGGCTTTTCCCGGAATAGGGTGTACAGCTCAGTAGCAACAGTGTTCTGCTGATGTATAGGCAAGTACCTGATGATCAAGTTGCAAATACGACCGACAAGATCCAGTGTTGTCTCATCATCGAAGGCTACCGGGTGTGATTCGTCAGAAGTTGATGCGCGCTGGAGAAGTGGTAGTGCGATGTCCCTGTAGTAGGTTGAACTGTCTGAACCCTGCGACAACTTGTTCTCACCCTTCTTAAGTGCATACAACATCGCAGAGAGGAGTGCGACGATGTATGTAGAAGAAGCGCCTTGTTGGACTGCTGCGCTGAATTTATTCTTCAGTCGCAGTACAACTGTGTCGAAAACTTGCTCTTCACCTGCTAGCTTGGCAAAAGCTTCGAGCACGGTCGAGTAATTGTTTGATCCATTTGCATCCGTATCTGGAAGCTGCGCAAGGAAAGCCGGGAATGCTCTCTCGACGACAACCTGTGGCTTCTGGTGAGCAATCTCGACGATGCCATTGATAGCTGCTTCTTTTATCTCATCCTTGCCGTACGACTCTTCGTGGATGACGATGGAATGCAAAAGCTGGATGACGCGACCGATGTCTTCATCGCTTAACAATCCTCGCGCTTTCGATAGCTGGATGAGCCCATCAAGACAGACGAGTCGGAAAGACACCTCCTTGACGGGGGCTGTCTCCAGACCATTCAGCATTACTTCCAGGGCTTGGTCTCGGAACTGAACGAGCGCGTTGTTGCCAACTTCTGCTCCGCCAGGACCCATCTTCTTCCAGTCCCCATACACGTCGATGTTGGCCTTCACGAGTTGAACAAGAACTTCTAGTAATCCTCGGCGCTTTGCCATAGTGTCGGCTGTCTGGAAAAGTAAGAAGAGATTCGGGAGTACTCCGGCTAGTAGAATTCTAGTAACTTCTGGGGAAACGTTGGCAATGCTCTGAAGAAACCTTGCGGAAGCCTGCGATTGTTTCGTGGGTGCATCTTCTAGGTGCTCGTTGCACTCCTTGATGATTGGTTTGAGATATGCGTTGAGTGATCCTGGAGTACCGAGTGAAAGTGTCCTTGCAATCGCAGCTAGACCTGCAAGTGCTTCTTTCGCTAGATCCTCTTCTTGTACATTTAAGACTTCGAACTTCAGCGCATCCCACAGTGTAACTGCGTATAACGATACTGTCCGCGGCCCGTACTCGGTCACTGAGGCAGTAATGGTCGACAGAACATCACGCTTGGTGTTCATGGACGTGGAATCGAGCTTATCTAGGAGCGCAGGGAACGCGTATGGCGCAAAGTCGGCTGTAGACGAAATGCAATCTCGTAAGCGATCCTTGAGATCTTGCGCGGTGATACCGTATGGGTCGTCGGGAGGCGGTCTGAAGGTAATCGGGAAGTAATTAAAGACTGCGTCGAATAGGTCCTGAGCATCTCCGCCAATATTCCACTCGGTCATTGGCACCCTCAGTATCGAAAACACGACCATGAGGTTCCGAGGGTCTTTCTCTCCGTCAAAATATGCTATAAAGCGTCCCAAAAAGTCCGGCGTCGCATCGTGGTGGGCTCGTAGGACTTCGCGATATTTTGCCATAAGTGTATCGATCAAGCGCAATACTGGGTAGCGTTCGCTCTGCTGCTTGTATTGGCGCAACGGATGTGTATTGTTCAGGAGGGCATCAATGATGTCGACTACCCGCTGGTCGTCCCACTTCCCTAGCTCCTCCAGGGCCGATAGTGCCTTTGCACATGATCCAAGGCCTTCGTTGTCTTCGGTTCGGGAAAGGATAAAATCGCAGAGTAGGTTTCCTGAACTTCGTGTTAGCCCAGCCCTTCCGCACTGCAGTATAGTCTCATGCTAAGAACGCCACGCCCGTTTGATGCTTCGGTTCGACTCGAAGCGTGTGGTAGACTGATACATAAGGCGAGGTAGTATGGGTGAAGTGATCGTGGTAGACGTACGCTGTTGAAGGGAGAGGACCTTCTGCGGAACCGATGCCAGTACCTCTGCGAGATACGACATTGCTGCGTCAGATTAGCATAGACCGTACTGTAATTCTAGATGTACGTACTCTTTGATCGTGTGGCCCCATCCTCACTATTTAAAAACTCTCCAAGGTCAGTGACCAGGCTTATAAGCTTCAACTCGCCATTCTTCAGTCCTGTCTGCTATCAGTCCTCATCCCACGTAATGCCCCGCCGGAGCCTCGTACATACGCGTCGCGCTCCGTTGAGCAGTGGTCGTCGCCTCTTTCTTGTTTCTGTCGAAGTCGAGCAGATATTGCTGGATATCTGACATCTTCTCGTCGCGTCCGGGGTATCGTAATGTGTTGTTGGGTACCTCGAAAGCACGCGATTCAGAAAGTTGCAGACTCCCGGCAATGACGTTACGGAGTTGCGGTGCTGCTGATTGGCCGGTATCGGATGGTGGGGCGGGTCGCGCAAAAAAAGTGATGGGAAGTGTTCGGCAGTGAAGAAAAGAGCGTTTAATTGCGCCAATGTAAGAAGCTTGACTGGTCTTCGTGGTCCCGTGCAGTGAAATAAAATCGGACTTTGAAAACTCATCTCTTGATCTACTTGCACTGACGACTATCACCCGCTGAGTCCCCAGACGTATCCCCAAACAGCAAAGTTACCCCGCCATGGCCGACGATAAACCCAACTGCAAAGTTATCCTCGCGAACAACATCGCCAAGGGCCTTCTGGACGAAGTTCGCGATGGTCTGAACAAGATTCAACGCAAACCGCTCCTTGTCGGCTTTCTCTCCAGCGCTGATCCTGCGGCGAGAGTATACGCAGAATGGACGGGCAAAACTTGTGTCGAAAAGTGAGCGCGTCCATTGATCAAAACTCACTTCTTCCATCGATATGCCTTTGGTTGCAAGCTGGGTGAAGGCTGCCTACTAACGCTGTCATAGTGGCTTCGCATTTGACCTCCGCGAAGTCGATCGCGAACTTCTTGAGGACCGCCTCATCGAAGCGAACAATGATCCTGCCGTTGACGGCATAATCGTTTACTATCCCATCTTCGGCAACCGTCAGGACCAGTATCTCCAGCAGATTGTCTCTATCGACAAGGATGTTGAGGGACTATCGCACCGTTACATTTTCAACATGTACCAGAATATTCGCTTCCTCGACCCTGCCAACACGAAAAAGAGTATCTTGCCGTGTACCCCATTGGCCGTGATCAAGATCCTCGAGTATCTGAGGATTTACAACACTATCCTCCCGTACGGTAACAGGCTTCACGGACGCACTATTACCGTCATCAACAGAAGTGAGGTCGTAGGCAGGCCGTTGGCCGCACTACTGGCAAACGACGGTGCCCACGTATACAGCGTGGATATTAGTGACGTGCAAGAGTTCACGCGAGGCGTTGGTCTAAGGAAGCGAAGGCACGAGGTGGTGGAGAAGCCTGGCTGGACTCTCAATGACTGCCTCCCACTTAGCGATGTAGTCATCAGCGGTGTACCTGGAGACAAGTACAAAGTCCCGCTGGAGTTGATGAGGGACGGAGCTGCATGCATCAACTTCTCCAGTGAGAGGAACTTTACACCAGAGGTCAAAGAAAAGGCCTCGATCTACGTTCCTGCCATTGGCAAGGTCACCATTGCAGTGCTCTTGAGAAACTTGTTGGTATGTAATCATACTAAGAACCGCAGAGCTATACTAACCGTGTCACAGCGCCTCACTCAAAACAAAATCGATGCTGCCGCTCAGGGAGTGGAAGAGAAGTCTTCAGTGGAACCAGTCATTCAATCGACTGCATAGACATGCCTGGTCCATTTCTTTTGTCCTGTTTTCATGTTGATACCCTATAGAAGGCACATATGCCAAAATAAAAGCTGTTCGTCATGTCATTCTTCTTCCTTTTGTAGCTGTACATGCTCAATATCATACAATACGAAAAGGTATTGGCTTTCGCCTAGTGAGACTATTTCGTAGAAGCAAAGCCATCGTATTAAATTCGGGAAAGAAATTACTACAAGAACGTCATTATTTGATAGTGTAGACTACCAAACCAAATGAGATAGCATTAGCCGACTAGACCCTACAACACCCAGCCATGCAAAGCTAGATGAAGGATAGCAGAGGCACAGACAAGACCAGGGAATCGTTACAATCTCAAACGCCACGCTAACATGGGAAATTAAGACGCCTCTGGTGGCATAGGCACTGGCACACTCTCCACTTTAATCTCCGGTGGTGGCGGCTCGTATGCATCGTTGTCCACTTCCGGCACCGCTCGCCTAGGCATCGGTCTCTCCCTTTCTTCATAGTACATATACTCTTCAGGGCGACTATTGTATCTCTGTGGTGGAGGTCTCTCGTATTGTACTGGTACGTATCCATATGGATCATGTTCGTATCGATGAGGTTGATGTGGCATATACGGGGCGCGATACCTAGTGTCACCGCGTACACGAATGACTTCGTAGTCGTGGATGGGATGCCCGTACTCATCAACATAAACTGGTTGTGGCCCACGAGGTTCGTCGTAACGATATCGTGGTGGTGAGTACGCATGAGGATGCAGACGATCTTGCACAGATACGTAGCCCCTTGGGTGACGGCGAGCAGGCGGATAGAAGCCATCGTCCTGTACAGATTGATCAACACTGTGCTCTCTAGAATACGCAGGCTCGTAGTCAGGTTCGGCATTCGGTTGCGGTGTTTCTTGTTGATCGATACGGCGCCGTTGTTCTTCATATCTCCTACTCTGCGAACGACTCATGCTAGATCCGCGGCCGTAGGGGTCTTCGCGTGCGACGCTCATGTATCGATGATATCGAGACGGTCCTCGATTGTCATTGGGTCGATCCCTTCGGCGTTGAGGCCCAGACCTTCGTGGTGGGCCGCTCGGTCCAGGCATGGGCATCCGGTACCCATTAGATTGATAATCATCATATCGAGAATTGTTAGAGACAGTGGATGGAGCACGAGGGTGTGGTGGTGCAAGTGGGCGCACAGGTGCCGTCGCTTCAGCCGGTACAGAAGTATCAGGAGGTGGGGGCGTGTAACGGGGTCCGTCTCCATTCTCCTGGGCTGGTATTGCAGCCTCCGGTTCTGGTTGTGTTTGCGACGGAGGTGGCTGTGGAGGCTCATTCTCCGCTAAGAATCGATCCGCTGCAGATTGTCCTTGAGGTGGACTTGCGTCTCTCGACTGGCGCTCATTCATGAACCGATATTCGGACCGATGATCGTCTTCTTCGTAGTATCGAACCGGGCGGGGATACGCACTGTATTCCCGACTGCCGTGACTCCCTTCCCGCGGATGCGCATAGACCACATCTTCGGGAGGTCCATAGAATCGCTCTTGCTCGCGGAAAGCTGTCCGGCGACCAGAATAGTCGTCATACGCAGGACCCGCATGGATGATCCTAGGACTAGGCGCGTACTCCACGTATTCCCGCGGACGATGATAGCCATCATCAAGATGATCCCTGGACACCTGACGGAGAAGCATGTTAGTCCCATTGAAAGCCCTGTGGAGTACTGTATATCACCTACATAGTATCTAGGCTCATCATAATGGTGTTGCCTGCGCTCAACGGGCGGGCTTTGTCGGTAAGAACGTTTCCTATTTGTGGAGCCGGATGCCTCATTCGATTCACCGGCAAGGGTTGGTCGAACAGGCTCGTAACCAGCCTCCAATGGTTTGGGTGGCAGTGACAAGTTTACTTCTGCAGCATTCATGACAGAGCTTGGGCGTGCTATAGTTTCACCAGGAACATCGACTGCACCAGGCGTTTTGTCCGTATCCTTTGGTCCTGATGAGGCCGGGGACGCAAGGCCATGACTATCAATCACGCCGATCTTGGGCAACGGCATGGGAAACAGGCTGGGAAAGACAGTTGCTATCATTAGTAGCTTCTCGTCGTCCATGCCTGGAGCGTGTATGAGTCCAGAAATGAAACGTTCGCTGGGCAGCTCGATCATGTCCTCTTTCCAATCCAGAGGGGCAACAGGAATTCCATGGCCAGGCATATGTTGCTGATATGGCAGGTGTTGACTCCTGAAGTGGGATAGCAGACCCAGAACAGTGTATGTTGTTCTTTCTTCCGACTTCGAGTAGAAAGAACTTCCCAAGTGATGTGAAGAGCCAGTCTGACAAGCTTTGCACGAGAGCCCTGGCGCGTTCTTCAAAGCCTTTGGCATCTCATGATTAGACATAGCATCAATGAAGTGATTCAGGTTCGGTTCATGGTTGAACTCTACATGAAACTTGGAGATGACGCGATGTAGCAACACATAGATCCTAAGGCTGTTCGGCATATCTTTGATCCCAGAGGTGCGCTTCCAGATGTCCTGTGTCATCTCGATGACCGTACTTACTTGCTTGTCAAACGAGCTAGTACTTTGGCCAGTATCTTCTGTACCGCTGGGTGCGATCTCAGGAACTCCTTGACCGGGTGGTGGCATGTTGGGTGGTGGTGGTGGAGGAGGAGCAGCTATGGCATTGTTGATCATTGCAGGAGAGGTCAAATATGGGTTCTGGGCCGTGTGAGCACCATAACCCGGAGGTCCCATGGCTTGGTGCGCGTACATATCCACGGGAGTCGCATATGGCTGGGGGTACTCGTATCCGGGCATTGTACCAGAAGGAACCTGTGGTGGAGCGAATGGTCCATTGTACTGACCTCCGTAGTTGTAAGGTCCAGGGCTCGCCTGTGGATGATGAGTAGGCATGTGAGGTGTCGATGTGCCTGCACGTGAGTATCCGCCATAGAAGCCACCAAACCCGTTCGTGCTAGAAGAAGGGTGGTGAGCATGGTGAGGTTGTTTCACAGACAGAGGATCTGGATGGAACGGGGTTTCCTCTGGCCACTCGGCTTCTCTCCACGCCACGACTACGTTTCCTGAACTGAACGCAGCAGTGTGCTTTGCTCCGTAGTGCTGCGTGACGCCCTCGAAACCATAGAATTTGTTGTTGTGTTCGCACCCACTGCCACGGCACAGGAAGATGTCTTTACGGAACTGTTCTGTTAGAGGCTTGATCTTATTATCGTACACCCACTTCATGTTATCCAGGACGAGTTTAGGCCTAGCATTTATATTGTCAGTAGAAGGCCGCGTATGTTGCCCAGATTGAGCGGGTTCCTGTTCCGCTTCCTCAGCGTAGTATGTGCGTCGCACGTAAGCAAGAAGGTCAGCCGCAAACTTTGGGCTATTATCGTAGGTTACGGCATTGCCATGGTCCCAGTCTTGGTTGATGAAATCGTCGGCAATAGCATCGAGCCTGTCGCGGATGGGACGTTGCGATTCCTCCCATTCCCGGTCCATGACTTCTCTGGCCTCCTTGGAGTTTGCGTCCGGGTGGCGGCGGTCCACTGGTTTTGTGGGAAATGAAGCAGCCCGAGCCACGTGGTCGGCTTCTGCTTGTTGGGCAGCAGGAAGTTGAGCGATCAAGCGGGGCTGAAGCACACTCCATGCATAATCGTTCATTGGCTGTGAGATCTGGATAGCAGCTTTGAACGAGTCCATGTGGCGCAGAATGTTTGGAGCAATAGGAGGATCCATTTGCTGACACCGTCGTTCTATGTCGGTCTTCCGAGTCGCCTTGGCCTCGTTTGCATCGTGGAGATTTCGCTGGCCAGAGGGAGTGAAAGCCTGTGGTGGGACAGTGGGCGGTCGGGCTTGCGCATGCTGAGACGATGGTGCTACACCTGTTAGGTTGGGAACTGGAGGGGTGTTGTTGAAGTATCGAGAAGCATCGCCATGTCTGGCAGCAAATGAGACAGCAGAGGTATACTTACTCGCTGGAACCGGGGCATGAATTATGGGAGAAGGAGTTCGGCGAGGGGGTGACTTGGATAATTCTCTGTGTGACGTGGCAGCGTGTGAGGGAGCTGCAGATGCTGCGCGCTTCGCATCCTTGTGCTCTTCCATCCATTGATTCTTGACCTCCCAGCGCTCCCAGTTCTCGGCTACCTTCATGCGTTCTTTCCCGCGAGCATCGAGACCTTTAGACCACTCCTCAGCTGCTGTAGGGCCACGACCGATGGCTTCATTCATCTCCTGCGTGATTTCCTCAACATGCTTCTTGTAGTAGAACTTGGCAATGTCCACGTTGGCTGGCGTGGTCACAGATTGCAGTGCATATGCAGCAACGTAATGCTGGTCGTTTGTGAGTAGCGCGAAGGGGAGGGCGGGTCGTAAGGCGGAAGAAGCCGAAAAGAGAAGGCTCGCGTCCTAGATATGTCAGTTGCGACCGTCTGGTAGGAAGGCGCAACTTACCGTCTGGCATTGTTGTAGCAGGCACGGCCCACACGCTCTGATAGCGAAGGGCCAGATGACTCTCACGCCTGCTTTGCCAGGTCCTTTTTGCCATACGCGCTCGCCTGGAGTATGAGAATCAAGCTTGTTACAGAACTGGCATCTCTTGGACCAAGCCAGCTGCCACATCTGCAGCTCAGTGAAGCCTGGGAGTGGCTTCGGAGGCTTGGTACACATGGCATTGCGGGCAGAGGCCCACAACGACTCAGACTTTAGGAGATGCAGACGGCCAGGATGCGACTTTGAAGTCGACACGCTGCGCACGTCTGTGAGATAGGATAGGAAAGATCGATTGACCTGGATCAATCGACCGAGATCTGCAAGCGAACAAAAAGAGAAAACATGCTGCCACAACTCAGGTGGTAGCCTTGCGCAACGTCTCAAGTCGCCCGAGGTGCAAGGAGAAAAGACGCTGAGCTTGCGCTTCTTTTCATGCTCAACAGGCGCATCTTCTGCTTTGCGCTTCGCGAGAGGCGCGTCGCTCTGCGCATCCG